CAAATATGACATAGAAAACAGACAGAAAATATGGATTTTTCCAGTGTTGATATGAAGCAGTGTTGGAAATATCCTTCATCCAAAGAGTGACACTCAAGTGACAGTAACCCCAAAATGTCAGATTTGGTTTGAATTGACAGCAGTAGTTATGAGATTAAATAAAAATAAAAGGAAATGTAAAGGCAGACATTGAATTCGACTTTCAGAAAAAAAATTCAATTGCTGTAATCGAAATTTGAGTCCATGGAAAGAGAGTCACTTGTCCATAGACAAAAATCGTTGTCATGGCATTAACTTGTTAACTGTGTCAAAAAATTTGAAACATTTTCAGCTTTGTCGGATTTCTTACAACAATTGTAGTCATTTTATTGTCAAGTTTGAAGTATTTTGCATAGTTACATTTCTGTTGATGAGGGTCTATGTATAAAATCTGATAATAAAAACAACAAATAGAAATTATATTTGCTTGCCTGGGAGAGACGCTAGATTTTTGGAGCAAAAACTAGTAGTCTATTTTATCATTGTAATTTTAATAAGTGTTCAATTTCAGCGTTCGATAATAGCGCCCACCTGCTTGGATACAGTGTACTATTTGTAGACGTTACTTCAGTAGAACAGGGACTCTGTCTCATTATATATATATATATATATATATATATATATATATATATATATAGTAAAGTCTATTGTATTATCCTAATGGTTATTGGTTGGGCGGTTATGTTTCAAATTGTTCTATAGGCTCTTGAGTAGGAATAATTGTGGATCCGAATGATCTTATTTTTATATTTACATACGCTCTATCTCTGATATTGAACACTTTTACCCATAAATATAACATACCTTAAAACTATATATATATATATATATATATATATATATATATATATATATATATATATATATAATGGGTAAAATTAGTACTGAATTTAGACATTAGCTAGACAGCCAACAGTTTACAGCTTCAAAATTTTCTTTACATGAGTCCCGCTGTTGTAATTTTAAACAAGAAGCCATCAATTATTTAATAGCTTTGGCTGAAACCAAGTTTAAATCCGGAAACTCAAAATGTATTTATAAAAAAAATTAAAATGTTTAAAAATCTCTGTTTCTGTCTGTCTTTTGCCCTGAGTAATTTTATACATATAAACTTATGATTACAAATAGTTATTAAAATACATATAAATTTTTAACGATATATATGTCTATTCATATCTATATATAAAATCACAGTATTTCTTTTCAAATCCATCAGAGCTAAAATTAAAAATAGACAATTAATTGTTTTTATAATAGGTAAGTTTATCCACTTATTTTTCCTCCGATATTGTCCGCCATAATTTCCGGGTCTTTCGATAAGTGTTCAGAATAGTTTTTACTGTAAAAGTTAACCTCTTACAGAAATTTAAAACTTTTGGATTTTTCCTTCAATGTCGGCAAAGTTAGCATCACCACTCTGGCGCTCTGGTTGAAGCCTTCGACCCACCGTTCAATACTCTACCCATGAGCTATATAAGGCTACTCTGTGTTAAATATAGATAAAGGCGAATGTTTAAGGCTAGTGTGGTTTTAAAAAAGAAAGTTGTAAAAGGCGTTTTGTTCTAATTTATAGACAATATGAAAAATTGAAATTGCTCCCAATTGAATGTGTCAGCTATTTTTTTTTTTAAGTGAGGGTGATGATGGGGGTTTTGTAAAAAAAAGAGAGAACGAAAGTATAAAAAGGAAATATTTTGTCCTTGAAGGAAGAAAAGGTTGATGACTATTTTTTAAAAGCATTCTGACTGAGTCATTCTTTCCTGGATTGTTGCCCCACAAGTGTCCTTCCGACACCGACATTTACTGTAGCAACAAATTTCTTTTAATTTGTTTTAGCGCAAAAAAAAAAAAAAAAAAATTACCCAACAACTTATTGAGAGAAACAATTTTGTTTCGAAATTATAAACAATTAAGCATCTAAAAGCGTTTATCTCCAGAATCACCAGAAAGAAAACTGATAAAATTACTGTTATTGTTAAAACTGTTATCAAACTATATATATATATATATATATATATATATATATATATATATATATATATATTTTACAATTAGTATTAAGATATCTCTAGTTAGTGATCATTTTCACCTACGAATTTTAATTTTAAAATTCGCAGGATTTTTCAAACTCTTTATGGTATCAGTTTGTAGATTGGGATACTACTACTAAATCCTGCGAATTTTAAAATTAAAATTCGTAGGTGAAAATGGTCATTAACTAAAGGTATGTTAATTCCAGTTGTAAAGAAAATTTGCTCTGTTTAATGAAAATAAACATTGGGAGCTCTTTTGTGAGTCAGTTTTAACATATTTCAAATTCTATATTGTGTTAATAGGACTCGCCTGGCAACGGATTACCACACACACACACACACACACACACACACACACATATGTATATATATATATATATATATTTATATATATATATATACCGTGTATACTCTAGTATAAGGCGTAAAATACTGATCGTAAGAAATAAACACTATGCACATATATATATATATATATATATATATGTTGGAATTTTCATGGCCTGTGTATAACGTAGACTACCCAACAGAGTCGTTTATATTATTTTTTAATCACAGTTCCTCACTTTTGAAATGGGGTGGGGGTTGGCCTTTAAGTCAGAGGACCCTCGGATAAGAATTTGCACTCTAAAATGCAGGTGGAAGTAAATGATTTTCCTTAGGCCAGTCCAACTTTTCCACCTGTGACGGGCGAGTCAAAGCAATAAAGTGTTCCTAGGTGGTTTCCCCCTCTTCGTCAAATAACTGTACAGGATTACATGATATCTGTAGGTAGAAAGGAAAAATTGGATTCATGCCTATCCTAATAGCATTCGTGCGAAGTGAACACAAACTACATTTGGAGTTTGAACTCGCCTCCAAAGATTCCATTTTACGTGTTGTTAACCGTTAGTATGAGTCTACACATCGAAATTCAATTGGGAGCTTCCATAGAAACGAACAATGGTAATGTTAATGGTAATATTAGCCATTTCCTTATAAGGAAACATTTTGCATTCATTGACCAAATAGCCAGTACTGCTTTCACTTGAAGTTTATCAAATATTTCTCTTAAAGTTGAAAATAAGTTTTTTTTTTTTTTTTACATCCAGTAGCTGTTATCGCTCTTTCCAGTACTGATGGAGATTTCCTTCCTAACCTTTTGCTTGAAATAGTGTGGAGTGTCAACATCTTGACAAGCGTCGCCATAAGTATCACTAGACGCAGTTCTTGCAATTATACCATCATTCTCTCCGAATAAACAATTTTACAACCCCCACCTAACTCAAAAGCACACACAAATATCTCTGACATTATTAGTTTAGAAATTCGTGATGCTTTTTGGTGGGAGGGGATATTTGAACATTTAAAATAAAACGTCGTTTAAACAAAACGAATTCTTTTCTAAATATTATTCTAAAGTCATTCAAAAATATGTAGATATATGTATACTTTAAGCAAACACACATACACACACACACACATACTTGTGCATACATACGTAGGCATATACGCGACAAATATTAGAAAATATTTGGTGAAGTGCGTCACAAGGCAAACTAGGAGTAAATGGTTTTAAGAAGATTGTATTGCGCCAAATTCATGTTGGAAGCTGCCTATTTTGAAAATTAGCATTTAAAATTCAGCTTTTTACATGGGCTTAATTTTCTGACCGCTGACACAGGTGGGGAAATGCACACCACTGCAAACGTATTGGGGAGCCACTCAGGATTGAACGCTGTAGTCGGGTAGGAGGGCTAGCCGATTTTGGTCCAAAATAGCTGATTTTGTTAACCATTGCGACAAAATATATATATATATATATATATATGTTAATTCCATTTATATATATATATATATATATATATATATATATATATATATATATATATATATATATATAACGAGACTATGGATTTTTAAGTTTAATTTTTATTATTAGTTTTAGTTTTGAAACATGGAAATTTTCTGTGTCGCGATGGAATCATAATTTTAAAAAGAAAATAATTATAATATATATATGTCCAGGGTCATTGAAATGTAACTCCCTATTTTATGTAACATGGTCTATAATGCATAAACTAGGGAGTAGCTTTTCCATCATCCTGTATATATATATATATATCTCTGTATTCTCATTAATTTTGTTTACCTATTCATATCTATCTATCTATCTATCTATCTATCTATCTATCTATGTATACACGTGTATATGTCATGAATTGAATAAAAATAGTGTCATTTATTAAAGAGCAAAAAAAAAAAAAAAGGGAAAAGAAAAAGAAAAAAAACACACACACACACACACAAAGAAAGTAAAATTATTTTTGGTTTGATTCGGTCCAGTTAAACATTTACGTTAATGGAATATTCAGCTGGGGTCGAAACTGTTCCCGCCAATTTAAACCAAGATTTTAAAGTCTACGGAAATTAAATTTGTTTTTTAATTCCCTTTCGCACAATGTCAGAAGAAAAGCTAATTAATATTGATATTTGAAATTGGTAAGAGTCTTTTATTTCTTTGTTTTCAGTTGATGTAAATGTTTTCGATTTAAATTCCCCAATTCTTTGTCATTTGTACATAAATTCAATTTCACAATTTTGTCAACCATTTATTCACTTTTGTCAGGACATCATTTTTCTAAATCTGTCAGTCATTTCTTTTTCTGTTTTTTTTTTTTCATTTTCATAAATGGTCAACCATTTCTTCTTTTGCCTCAGGTCAACGTCACAGCCACTTTAATCGCATGACAAAAAAAAAAAAAAGCTTTTACGTTTTTAGAAGAAAAAAATTAGCGAAGGACATAAACGGATATTTTTTTTTCTTGTCACAAAAATACAAACATAATTTCTCCCCATCCAATCAAACTTTTCATACTTCATACAATTTTAATGATGCTTTTTTTTTTTTTTTACCCCACCCAAATAATTTTGCGATTCCCCAACTTATTAAAGAAAGCAACAATATTTTTTCCATCCTTTCTTGCATTTATGGGGTGGAATATGTGAAGTGTTCTTTTTCAATTTCGATTTACTGCTTGAAGAGAGAGTTGGAAGAGTGGACTTCCCCAAGTCCAAGGCAGCAATGATGGCACTATCAAAGACTTCCTTCAGGTTCTTTTGTGTGAGTGCCGAGCACTCGATGTATGAATGAACCCCCATTTGACAGGCAAGTCGCCGAGCCTCCTCCTCTGGAACAGGAACTTCTTTGTAACGCGCAAGCTCAATCAATATTTTCACGTCGTTTCGAAGATCACACTGCGTTCCAATTAGAATAATCGGAGCTTTGGGTGAATGCTGTCGGATTTCAGGGAGCCATTTATCCAGAATATTATGGAAGGATGACGGGGAAACAACACTAAAGCAAATGAGGAAGACGTCCGTGTTGGGGTAGCAAAGTGGCCGTAGAGAGTCAAAGTCATCCTGAAAAGGGAAGAAAAAGAATGGATTTAATTGGCATTCTAAGAATATATTGAGTTTTATAATTTGAACAGACTATAAGGAATGGAATGGTAAGTCAAAGTAAAAAAAAGAAATCTTTAAAAAAAACAAAAGCAAAACAAAAACGCCATTAGTGCAGCAATATATTTGATATTCATGAAGAAAGTTTCCCCATCTAGAAAATGTAATATTTTTAGACAAGATATAAATCCATCTTTCTCCTCATCAATTTTCTTGTTTGTGGATGGGTGTTGTGTTTTGAAGGGGGAATTTGCTGCTCTATCCTTCACTGTCCATTTTCTCAGCTCTACCGCGTTGTGGTGTCATGGATATCGGCTCGAAATGAAAAATTGGAGAGCCGAGTTCGAATTCCAGTCGGGTTCACTTACGCGCAAAAAAACCTTGGGAAAGGTATATATCCATTTTTTCTCCTCCCCCCTCCGGCTATGGATTGAATATCAGGACAAACTGGGTCCTATAGCCTTGTTGGCAATCAGTATACTGCAGAACCTACTGCGGGAAGATCTTCTGCTGAGTCAGCCATTAATCGAAAGTGACTTGATTGCCCAAGCGTCTAACTCGTATGGCACTTAACCGAAAAGACCAACGGTACTCCCAGTGATCTTCTGAAGACTGTACACTGTTCAATCCAACTGATGTGACGACGGAGCCTCTGGAGATTGACTGACATATGAAAGCCCAAAATAGAGTCTTTTTTAAAGCATTTCACCCCCAAGGAAGGCGGGAATACCACTAGTACGCAGGGGGGTTACAGAGAGTGAAAGTGAGAGAAAAGACTGGGTAAAGGTGGGGGATTGAGGAAAAGACAAAAGACGAACGGGAATAACGGCAACAGAAGATGGCGATTGACATTGCATTTAAATTTTTGAATATTGTAGTTTTCAGGGAAGCAAGTAAACGGAAGGGATTTCCACGGGCGAGGAGTGCGAGAAAAGAAACTGTTGGAGTAGAAATGTCGGTTACATTTAACTATTTTAATAGTAAAAGATGCTGGTAAGTCATAAATTCGATCTTTAGGGCGGGTACTGCAGAAACAAACGCTTGTTCCGTAGAAAAGCAGAATGGCATATATAATAACAAAGCTCGTTTACGCCTAACAAAACACGTCGGCCAGTAAATTAATAGAGGTCACCAATTTGGAGGAGAGAAGATCTTAACAAATAAAGTGTTCAATATTAAAAAAAAAAAAAATATAGCAACAATAGTTAATAGACTAATAAAAGAAAAAAATGAAACGTATTTAAAATAAATAATAAATGTGATATTTTATAGATTTAGCTTAGCCTGACGAGCGGTATATCTGTGAAACTTCGAATCAGAAAGATAAGTCATTTGAACTATATATGTATATTTGACAGCTACAAGTTCTGAAATTCCCTAGAAAGGACACGGTACGGGACAGAGAAATGCGAACATTGTGGGTTAAACAAAGAATACCATTTGCTAGTAGTCCCAGTGGGCTACCGAATACGAGAGACACACAAGAAAGGTTGGAAGATAAGAATTGATGTATTGAAAATAATAAAGGCGAGAAGACGTAGCCGAAAGAATCAAGGTAATAATAACGTCTCCCCGACAAAGAAATGCAGACAGAAAAAAAGCGAGAAATTAAAGCGGCCGAAATGTGATAAGGATGATAACAAAGGCATGAAAACGGATCAGAAAGTAACAGTTTTTAATAATCGAATAGGCTATTTTGCTGGTCCCGGTAAAGTAGACACCAAAGTTATTTTGCCAATCCCGGTAAAATAGACACTAAGGTTATTTTAGCGGTCCTATTAAAATAGACATGAAGGCTGTTTTACCGATCTCGGTAAAATAGACACGAAGGCTATTTTGCCGGTCTCGGTAAAATAGACACGAAGGCTATTTTGCCGGTCTCGGTAAAATAGACACGAAAGCTATTTTGCCGGTCTCGGTAAAATAGACACGAAGGCTATTTTGCCGGTCTCGGTAAAATAGACACGAAGGCTATTTTGCCGGTCTCGGTAAAATAGAAACGAAAGCTATTTTGCCGATCTCGGTAAAATAGACACGAAGGCTATTTTGCCGATCTCGGTAAAATAGACACGAAGGCTATTTTGCCGATCTCAGTAAAATAGACATGAAGGCTATTTTGCCGGTCTCAGTAAAATATATACCAAGGCTATTTTGCCGGTAAATATAAACAGTATTTTAGTACTAAGAATATATTATATATGAGATCGTCAGTGCAGTGGTTGTGTGAGCTGTGTTAGGCAGGACTTGAACAACATGGATTCTGTGGTCTGTGACTGTCATCTTCAGTGAGTACACTTGAAGTATATTGGCAAGAGAACCATGCACAAGTGTAATTTTGGCATTTGCAGAGACTGTTATAACTGAAATGCTTAAAATATTCAAAGACTTCTACTTTTCTTTAAATAATTGATGAGGAATAAATGATTTTAACTTGTATTTTAACAATTGATGGTGGAAAAGATTTTAAATTGTCTTAACAATTGACGGTGAAAATAAATAAACTTCTGTGTTAAATCTGTGTATTATTATTTTTAACATCCCCTGACTTCATAATAATAAAAAAATATTTCCCGGAAAAATAGCCTGGGGGTCTATTTTACCGAAACTGGTAAAATAAGCTTAAAATCATGTTTGTTTAAATAAAATAGTCTCTTCCTTTAATAATATAAACATAGCCTATTCCTCTAATAATATTTGATTTTACTAAATATTAATAAATAATAATATTTACTATTAATATTTACTTTAAGAAATTTGAGCAGAAAGAAAGCCGGACATTACAGCAGTCGAAATTGTGTGATAAGGATAACAGACACGAAAACGTTTTTTTTTTAATCCGTTTCATCCCATGCAAGGCACTAAAGCAACTAAGACACAAGGGGTTATTGGGTGATGTAATAATAGGGATAGAAACATTAATAATGAGCGAGAAGAGAAAAGAGTAATCAGGAGGACTGTAGATAGTGATTGACATTGCATTTAAATTTAAACTGGTCCGGAAGTATCAACGTATGTCAATAAAAATAACATATTGACTCAGAAAATCAGACGAAAATAATATGCATTTTTTTTTAGAGTGAGGCGCTTAGAAATATTAAAAAATGTCTAAAGTGTTACATATCCAGAAAACTTTCTTCAAACTCTAACCCACATTTTCTCCCCAACAAAAGTAACCCTACTCTTCAGAAACCATAAATCAATTGTTCTGAAAGCCAAAAAACTATTATTGCTGTCAAAAAACACTTTTCTGTTTTGAAAAGCATTTCCGAACATTTAAGAGTTTAATAAGTTACTAAAGTTAAAGCCACCTTCAGGAAGTCGTTACGTAATTCTGCCCCCCCGCCAAAGGTCATATTTTTCTAATGTTGATTTTTTCCTACTTGAAAGATTAGCGTAGAAAATTAATTTTGCCTTCCTTGATTTGCTTTGCCGTAAATCAAAGTTTAGCGATCTGGCCGCCTAGGCAGTGAGTTTAATTCTGATTAGGTGCTCTATAATTTTAACTTTGTGCAAACATGATCAGCTGTAATCATAAAACGGTATTCAACGTTAAAACTGAAAAACGTTTGTACGTCATCAGCATATTTTTTATTCCTGAATAGTTTCATTAAAACCACAAACAGAAAAAAAAACAACTGGCCCACCGCTTATATTGATTTTCTAAGCGTAGCTTAGATGTGGCACAAGGCCGAAAGTATGAAGCACCTAGTGAGAATCGAACTTACTGTTAAGTAATAGTTTAGCGGACTATTATTTTTAGAGGAAGTATATCTCTACTCGGACTCCGTCAAATTGATCTTAGAGATCAGATGGAAGACAAAATAAGGCAGTGGAATGTTTTCTTATAAATTCTTTTGTGAAACCAAGTCCAACAAAAATAACTTCATATAAGATGGAAGTAGAACACTGGCATTTTTGAAGAAACTAGGCTTGGCCTGTTTGATTTACAAGTCAGAGCATGCCATTGAGAAATCGAACCTTGTTTCTGTCATCTAGTTGGCCTATGACTTAAAACTGACGCGGCTTGTGAAGAGTTCTTTACTTCTTGCTTGGAACAGGAAGTGAAAGCAAAAGATCCTTGGTCAAGAAGAGGCAAGCCGAGCCGGGTGGAGATTAGTGTTAAGAGCTGTCAAAATAGACTTAATGGATTAAGATATCAAATCAAGTCTAATCTATTTTAAAGATTAAACTCAGCTTTTAAATTATAAATTTACAGAACAATGCAATATAATATTGTGTTTCTTTCGACGAGAAATGAGAAGAGTTCATCAAAGTGTTTTTTGTGCAAGTCTGTCAGAATTAAACAAACCAAACAGTTAAGTTTGAAGATGTTACAAGGCGAGTCACCATTTTTGACTGGTGACTCATTTGTGTCACATGGTATTTTGGTCGTCGCCCACAAGGCAAGTTGAATCTGGTGAAGATAATGAAAAGAATGCCGGATATAAAAAAAACAACAAAAAAATAACCAAAAAAAAAAAAAACAAAAAAAAAAAAACACGATGTGTTAAATTATTCATTTTTTATTTACACTGTTCGAGCTGTTGTCCTCATCTTTATTGTCATATTCACGACGTTTCGGCTGTAGTAAGCTCTGGCCTTATCTAGGTGATATACATTGGTATTTCGAACCGAACTTTTAATTATTCCACTGGGTAGATTGTTCTAGTTCCACGTGCCATGCCTTTTCAAGATATCTCTGTTTCAGTTATTTTCCCTTTAGTAACTCTCCTAACTTTTGTTCACCTCTGCGGTTTCTAGGTATTGAACTCACAATTTTTTGGATCAAGTCACACCATCGCTTTTATCCACAGGACCATCTGTCTCTTTGGGGACAACAGTTCAAACAGTATAAATAGTGTAAATAGTTACTACAATACCTCATCTCAGAAATATAGAAAGACTAGCAGCATGGCCCGACGTTGCCCGTGCTTGATTCAAAAATCGTACGACTCAATAGCAATTGCTATCACTTGACTTAAAATATTTTTGCCCTTCCTTGCCTTTAAAGGAGTGCCCTTTGCCGTGCTGATGTTGCTACATGCCTTACTTCTTGCCTATCTCACACTGCGAATTTTTTCTAACCTCTATACTAAACATTAAATCTGTTACGAAAAAAGAACTAAACAAAATGAACACAAAACGATCAGCTTTAAAAAAGGACTCGTAACTGGAAAAACCGAATGAAAAAAAGAATGTTAACAACAAATATTTTTTCACACCTGACCCAGTTCTGTGGAATCAGAATCAACGTTGAGTTTAAGCAAGCGAATGAGCCAATTGGAGTAAAGTGCCATGCAGATTTAAATTTTTCCCACTTGTGCCGAATGCAGCTATCGATTTTTTGCATGCTAGCATGATAGTTAACATTCGTGTCAGTCAGCTGTTGGCTCTCACGCTGGCCAATAGAATCTTCCTGCCTTTTCGTGGCAGTCAGCTATAGGCTCTCATTCTGGCTAGTAGAAAATGGCCGCAAACTACATGAAAACTGCCGTAGAAGCATGAAAAAATTGATTATTTCCACTATCGATGGGAGTTGGGAAATGCAAAGTCGGTCTTGGCCTTCCCGCTAACTTGGAGTATGTGCATGTAAATTTTGGTGCAAATCCGTCGAAAATTGCGGCCGTGCATTCGTTACACACACACACACACACACACACACACACACGCGCGCGCGCGCCTAAATTTTGATTTCAAAATCTAATCAATATTGGTTGTAGAGTAGACCCCTTGTGCCTGCTAATTTGTTACTCTAACCATTAAGCTTTCGTTTAGCACGGAGTTCATCTACAAAGAAAGAGAAGTGCCACATTTTCTAAAAATAAGCTTCATTCGTTTTCTGCCTTTATTGATTAACATTTGCGGTTTTTTTTTGTTTTTTTTTAGTTTTCTAAATGATCAGATCAGGTCAGAATCCCTTGATTTGAACTGGCTCCAAAAACAGCGACTCTAAATAGGTCTGGCTCAACCCTCTCAACTGAATGCCAGTTTCACTTACCACCAATTCAGACTTAGCCTGAACAAACATCAGATATAGCCAAAAAGGACGAGCAAATCCGTTTCATTAGTCAATTATTTGTGCTTCCATTATTCCTTGTCTGGAATAATCTTCAACCGAATTCGCTTTAGCAGACATTAAGTACTGGCGTACATCTTCTCGCCCCTTAGACTTCTTGTAGAACCAATCATTTTTTTCTAATCATTTCATCCTAGGCAAGGCAATAGAGCCACTATGGCGGAAGGGGTTATTGAATGTTAGAGGAAAAGAAAATATTACTAAGGAGAGAGAATGATAAAAGAGGAATTAAGAAGAGAGGAGATAATGGCACTGCATTTAAATTTTTAAAGATCAAAGTTGACTGGAAGGCAGAAAGCCGAAAGAGAGTTTCATAAGCGAGATAGGCGAGAGAAGATACTGCTAGCATAGAACTTACGGTTTACATCTAGCCATTTCAACTGCAAAATGATGCGACCCTGACACCAATCAAGTACTACGCTTAAATTCGTACAGTTTATATACCAAAGAGGAAAGCTCATCAGAACTTTAGCCATATTTATAGAAAAGGCGTAAAGCTACGTTATAGCGGCGAGAAAGTGACTGAAGCCGAGATGCCAGGTCAGGAGTGATAACATTGCAGTTTCTTCTTTGTATTCTACCAATAATCTCTAAATGCGTAACATCAACACCAGGTGATACGTAAATATTCATTGCATGGATGAAGATAGACTTATAAATATGTAAGATAGATTCTGGCGAGAAAAAATGTCTCACAAGACACAGGAAACCAATTTTCCTGGCAGCAGATCGAACAATGGATTCAATATAATCTTTCTAGTGCAGTGATGGCAAGGTATCGCTGAGCAGACGTGGAGGCTTCCTAAACTGAACTCATTGGCCATGGTGGAGAATTCCCCCAATGGAATCAACAGCCACGTGTCAGTGACCAATGCGAGCCTTCAAGTTGGAGGACATCGGCAGTAGATTGACCTGGAGATGAATTGTCGCCGACAGATCCACTTGCTCCAAATACGCGATGTATGAATGGGTACCTCTCTGGTTTTCAACCCAAATATGTGGAGAGTGTGCAGGTGGTCAATAGCGCAGCGCCCCTACGACAATACCCGATTATGGGACATTATTATTATTATAATACAAAATAAGAAACTTTGTTTATATATATATATATATATAGTTTTAGGGTATGCTATATTTATAGGTAAAATTGTTTAATATTAGAGATAGAGCGTTTAAAAAAGTTAATAAAAAACCCTATAAAATAGCTACAAATAACTACATTCGAATCCACAATTATTCCTACTAAAAATAATTAAAAACAAAAAACTGGTTTATATTGTTTATAATGCCTTTTCAAATGCCTTATTTGAAGAAAAATATTCACTAATTAAGGTTTTAATCCTTAATAAGTTACTTTGATTAGGTTATAAAAAAAAGTTGTTTTTCTTTGTGCTGAGTTGTCTCAGTCCTGAATTGTCCCGGCTTTGACTCGGCGGTGTTGAGTCGGCAGTGTTAAGTAGGAAGCATTGTAAGACAAACATTGCTAAGAGTTACAAAGGATAGGAAATTATGGAAGGCTATAATCGCTCTCGTTGTGAAGGAATACATAAAAAAGAGCTTTTACATGACCAGCGGGTTCAAGAATTACTTCTATTTATAAATGAGCAGATATTTTCTTTAGTAAATTAAGTAACGAGGTTCGCTTTAACAGCCGAGGTGGGAATTATTTCAAGGAAAATCTTAATTGAAACTGACTAAACAGGTAACGCCTTAATTAAAACTTGTTGTTCATATAATATGACATTTTCTAAAGTCCATCATATCTTTAAATACAGGTTGGGTCTCTGCCATTGAGTGATTCATCTTGAAAACTATTACTGATGTTCACTATGTGCTCCAAACTTGTAACCTTATGTCACGTTTGGTCAACACCAAAAACAGCTGACGTAGCGCAATGGTTAGCTATCTCGTCTCACTGACCAATCAACTTGTTTCGATTTTCATTAGTTTCTCCGGGTGTGCGGGTGGTGTAATAGATAGTCAGTCGGGTTCGTTACATTCATTTACGGGCAAAGACTCTTGGAGAAGGTATGAATCCATCACCCCACTAACTATGGGTTAAACAGTAAGATGTGTATCTGGAAAAATTGTTATTTTCCTGAAATTGTTAATGCAATATTCACTCGTAAAAAAAAAGAATTATCCTTAGAATCCAAAATATTAAATAACTGACATTGGGCTGATAAACCGTAAATAATAAATCATTAGTTGCTCCTTTTTTAGCTTTATACCAGACTATTTTTTCAGTGTCATGTCTTTTTAAAACGTACACCTTTTTTTATTATCTGTGAATTGCCATGACTACTTGAGTTGTGGAGGGAATGGGCTAGGTGGCCAATTGCGCAGTGACCCTATGACCACACCTTGTTATGGGAATTATATTATTATTATTATTATTATTATTATTATATACATCGGGAGTTGTTTCGATTTGCATTCTCAACCACTTAGAGTTCATTTGTTCTTTCCGTAACTGGTTTCCACCCAATGTTAGAGAAAGTCTAGTCTACTTTGCCCGTAGATGCTGGATGAAGAGATGGGTTCATGCCTTTCATAAAATATGCTAAGATTATATTTTTAATATTCCAGATTCTTTGCTTTGTATGGTTAGAAGAACGGTAAGGATAAAATATCGAATTCCATTTTATTGACTTGAACGTCAATTTGACAGCAAAAGAATGGATAAAAGTCATCGACCTTTTTCCCAACTATTGTCGTTCAATGCACTGTCTGTAAGAAAACATCGCGTAATAAAAGTTAGGGAAATATATTTACACTTCTTACTCTTCATACGCACTGTGGTAAAAATAAATAAATAGAACCCTCGAATCAATAATAAAAAAACCGTCGTTTGGCAACTTCTAGTGGGCGCGCCAAATAACACACACAATTTTAATAGCAGTTGGAAATTAATTAAATTTCTGAGACGTCTACACACATTGTTAATAGTTACTCTAATTCTTTGGCGAGAGTTAATTAAATGCTTTCATTATAATATATATAAGAATAAAGTTAAGAAAAAAAAAGCAATCGATATTTACATTTAAATTACGTTTTGTTTCAAACACTCAAAGTATTCAGAAGTGCTTTCTAAAGTACCAAATTGATAAACAGCTGAGACATTTTTGTGTACGTTTATAGGTTTTTTAAACCGAATATTTTAAGACAAGCGTTAATAGGTGTTTATTACCAAATTTATTTTTATAGGAAACTATTTAATTCTTTCCAACTAAGTTTATTTATTACCTACCCTATTCTATTTATTATCTATCTATTTATTTATCTATCTCTTCATATTTTTTACTTCAAACATGATTACTCGTATTAAAAAAAAGACGTCCCCTTTTTTTTAACTTTAAATTGTGTATTACGTCTATTGGCTTGCGCGTTAGAGAAATGTGCTCTTTTCTGTTAATATCTGTCTACATATCTATTTATCTTACCTATTTATTATCAATACATTCCAGATTCGGAGTATAGATAGATAGATAGATAGATAGATAGATAGATAGATAGATAGATAGATAGATAGATAGAATAGCATACCTGGCGTTGCCTTGGAACCGAAGCACTCAATTTCTTTAAGAGAATAATCAATAAGAACGCCTCATGCTAAATGCACTGAATTTTTTCCCTCGCGGAGTACATACTTTCTTTGTAAAAGTGAGACTACGAGAGACATATCCAATTCAAATAAACTTTTGTCGTAGACATTAAACTTAGCCTATCATAAAAATACTGTTGTAGATTAAGCGGAAGTTAACTGATTCTAATCAAAATATCGAATGGTAAAAACAAATACACCGCGCAAAGGCTCCATGCAGCCTTCCGGTTTTAAATATATTTCAAAGTTACAAATTAATAAAAATAAAGAATAGCCAATAAAATCACCTCCCCCTAATAAATAAACACAGGCTTCTGGAGCCTACGCGAAGCTATATAAACTAGACATCCATTCATTGACACGAGTCAACTTCACCGAGTTAGTCGCTCAAGTCTTGAACGACAGATCAGTTGAACTCTCTGCCTTCGAGCGGGGAGGAACCCGAAAGAGGCTACGCCGAAGGGCGGATTCTCTTTCGAGGAGGTAAACCGACCCTGAACCCGTTTATACGGGTTCAATGGGCATATTTTTGGCCGAGCCCATGGGCTCGGAGATCCCACGTCAAACCGGCCTTGTGCCACATGATGCCCACGTGGTGGTAGTGGTGGGGGTTTGACTAAATACCGCCCTGTCTTCACCGTCCTGTCTTTCTCGCCTAAACAACAGCGAATTCCCTTTGATCTTGTCTCCCAATTCCCCTTTCTCTCTTTCTCACTGAAAGACTATTTATATTCATTCCCTTTTCAGTCAGAGAGAAGAACTTTCTAGATAAAAACTTTTATTTTGTGATAGTAGTTACTGTTAAGAATTTGTGTATTTTATGTTAAATGAATGTCGCCATTTTATTTGAGCAGGCAAAAAAACTTTCTCTGATTTTTTTTGTTTTTTTTATTCAACAAACGGTGACTTATGGAATCATTCCCTTACATTTCAGAATTTCATGAAAAACAACACCTTTTTTGAGTCGCTTATCAGTTTAACACTCTTTCGGTTTTCTATGCTTGGGGGTATTGGAGTCATTGGATTTAAAGTCTCTCATAAAACAAGGAACATTATTGGTGAAATGATTAAAAAAATCAAAAAAAAATCTTGAGGGCCGGTTGAACTTACGATATCTGCTTGCTAAACGTGATTCTGCAGTAGGCACCCGAATAAATATTTATTAAAAATATCTTGAAACCTGACCACAACGAATGTCAAGTAAAATGTCTATACAAGCGAACAATCTACGAGTTTCTGGATCTACAACAGCTCTACAGCAAGCGTCCATATTGATGAGACTAAATACCTGAGGCCGAAATTCTTGGGTCGGTGGGGGAAGGACGCGCCAGTGAATAGAATTATTGATTGATTTTCTCCGTTCTGACTACGAAAGACGGATTCATTAGGTTCGTTTGAGAGAAGGAATTCCCTTCTATTATTAGCTGAACGGTCAGCTACACAGAACTAATTGACCAAATGGTCAGTGGGGATGGGCCTCGACATTGTAACAAACCTCTCCCCCCCCCACACACACCGCAATTCACAAAATTCCCCGCAACTACGACGCACTTAAGCCGTCCTACTTCTAAGCTGTGTAGAACCGCACGGAAAGAAGAAAAAAAAAAGTATTGTGTCGGTTAAATGTAGAAGAAACATTCCTGTTGGTTGTGGGCTTGCCATGATGAAAAGAAATGAAAACGTTGTGAAAAAACAGGTGGGTTGTCATTTATCAATGACTTCATCCAGTTGGATTTTACAAGCCTAGGTCCCATGTTTTCTCGTGTGACAAAAACTGAAAATATCAGTTTAAATACGGATAGATATTACTCAGCAAGTTACGATACATAGTTGAACATAAGAATGAGTCAAGCTATTGCATATATATATATATATATATATATATATATATATATATATATATGTGTGTGTGTGTGTGTGTGTGTGTGTGTGTGTATGACGTCATTATTATGTATAAACATAAAAATGTCTTTATATATATATATATATATTAATATTGATCACTATATATAATAAATATCTGCTGTTTCTTAAATCAAAAAATTTGTATATATATATATTAATTTATTAAACCGTATATTTATTTTTTATTTATTTTCGTCTACCGGCGTGGATCTGTTGGATTCATAAAGAATTCATAAGTGTGTAAAAAGGAAACAATAAAAAAAAATATAAGCAGTAAATTGCTGATAGGCCCTGAAGCGTAGACGGGCGAGTCCATATACGAAACTCTGGAGTAGAGATGATGAAGGTAATATCAATCAGCTAAGAGACAAGCTTTTACTCATATTAATCATATATATATATATATATATATATATATATATATATATATATATATATATATATATATATATATATACCTGTGTGTGTGTGTAATTATTTATTATCGGAGATTAAAACAAAAACATGCTAAAAATCGCTACACAATAGCAATCGTGTTTCGACACTACAAATGTATCTCCTTGGGCGATGGTAAATTACTCTGCAGTAATTTGCCATCGACATCGCTTAAAATTTGTCACGCTGATTGTTGTTACCTTCAGCATCCCGACTCCAGAGTTTCGTAGACGGAACCTACATATAGATATATAACCCACTGACGAGTAGACAGGGTTATTGCTGGAGGGTCTATCTACGAAGCTCTTTTTAATCCCGCAAAGAGGCTCAAATAAAACTCAATAGTCTTCAATAGGAATGTCCAATTCAATAACCCTTAACAAAAGTTTCCAATCAGTTTCCCTTAGAATAAAAATCAAATCAAATACAACCTCATTTATTCATTTTTGCCGTGTCCCTTCAGGACGTGGATGATTGTGGCTCTCCACATTTTCCTATGCTTATAGCTCTTAGCAATGATTGTCCTCTTACTTCAAAACGCCGTCCTGCCATCCATTTATCCAAGCACGTTAAGGGGCTTACTCATTGTTTCCCACTGTCCCTCTTGCCTTCAGTATGCCATGTGAGTGTCAAATTCTCCAAGCCTTCTTTCTTCATTATATTTTCTAGAAATTTCATTAGGTAGGTTACTTGCTATTCCCTTCTGTCCCTCTAGCCTTCAGTATGTCCTGTGAGTGCTAAATTTTCCAAGCCTTCTTTCTTCATTATGTGTGACCCGAAATTTCAACAGTCTCTTTCTAGTTTCAATTATAATTGTCCTTTTCGTTTCCATTTACCATTAAACTTCCTAGTTAACTAAGTGATCGGCTCATGGTATTCTCAGCATCCTTCTGTAGAACCAAAACTCCATAGTCTCAAGTATGAGGAAACTGTCTAGCATCGACTGCTATATAGCAGGATTGTCTTTATATAGCTGTTCAAGCATATTGTCTTTGCTTTTAACAAAGTTTTCCTGTTTCTTAATACTTTTAGTTTTTGGAATCTATCTTTTGATATTCCAATGTAGCTTTGGATTTCGGTGCCTCATTTTTCGTCATCTGCATTTCTTTGATGTTGATATTTTCAGTTAGCTGTTTGCATCTTGGACTTTTTCTCTTGCTGATAACTATACATCCCATCTTCTTACAAATGATACAAGGGGGAAAGAGGGCTTGGAAAATTTGATACTCACATTACGGATTGAAAGTAAGAGGGACAGAGGAAAACAATGAACTTGAGTAAATGGATGGCAGAACAAGATTTTGTAGGAATAACAAATAATAATAAGAGCTACAAAGGGCAAGAATTTATGGAGAACCATGTTCGCCAACGTCCCTGAAGAAGAAGAAGAAGAAGAAGAAGAAGAAGAAGAAGAAGAAGAAGAAGTTCACTCACTTGGCCGGCCGTATCGCAAAGTTGCAAACTGACTGGTTTGTTGTCTACTGACACAACAACTGTAAAAGAAATAAAGATAGTATCTTGTTAATAAAAGATAATAAATGTAAATTGGTTCTGGAATATAAAAGAGGCAAAGTAAAGAAAGAATTATTACGATTCTTTGAATTGCTGTCATACTCGTTTAACAATCTCATAAAAAAAAAATAATGGTATATTATTATTTAGAGAAAATTTTCATACGTAAACTTTTTTTCAATATATCCTTTCCACTTCTCGTTGTACTGAGCTTTTTCAGGTTTTTTATTACTCGGCTTCGTAAACATTTCCAAGTAATTTTTGACTGTCATAAAATACACAAAAGATTCTGTTACCTTCATTCCGCTGGCAACATTTAAAATTACTGACAAAATATATATACATGTATATATATATACACGGATCTTTTCTGTTAATTCACACCAAAATATCAATTCACCCTGAAATAAAAAGAATTTATATTTACTAAAATTCACGCCAATTTCTCCCATTTTCCTTAAAACTTGCTCGTTGCTCACATGCTCCGTCTATGGTATTCTCAGCCTTCTTCTGTAGAACCACATCTCTGATGCTTGTCTCTTTCTGGTTCTAAGTATAAGTGTCCTTTTTGTTTCCATTTTCCTTAAAACTTCCTCATGGCTCACATGCTCCGTCCATGGTATTTTCAGCTTCCTTCTGTAGAACCACATCACTGATGCTTGTCTCTTTCTGATTCTAAGTATAAGTGTCCTTTTTGTTTCCATTTTCCTTAAAATTTCCTCATGGCTCACATACTCCGTCCATGGTATTCTCAGCTTCCTTCTGTAGAACCACATCTCTCTTGCGTCAAGTCTTCTCTTCATCTATGAAATAATTGTCCAACAACCAGTGCTATATAGGAGGAATGATATTACAAAAAGTTCAGCACTGTTTTTAAAGAAACATTCTTCTATCTTCGTATTCTGTTTGATAAATTACTTAAAGAGTTGTTCCAAAAAATTGACCTCATGTCACAGCTCAGCCTCTTATATTTTCAAAAATATTTGTAAGGTCCCGTGTAAAAGTCGATCCATTATTTTTATAAATTGCATAGGATTGCGTGTAAGGGAAGAGAAGCTTAACTTGGGCAAAGCTATTTGATTAAAAGC